TGCACATCTAAGTCGTATGCAATTGATTTTACGTGAAGATTTGTCTAGACAATTTTTATTTTTTATTATTTTTTCTTTATAGTATGATCGAGTCACTTAAATTGGCAATAATTAGGGCACATCTAGATGTGCCCTAAACAAATGTGCCCTAGACAGACCCCTTACTTGAAGTGTGTTCAAACCCAGTCATTGTTTTCTTGATATTTCAGTTTATATATGTGAATTGCAAAGAATTGTGCATCACAATTTCACCAAAATTATGCGATTAATACTCATTTTAATAGTATTGTGTAAACGCATTGTCCTACATAAAAGAGAAGATAAGATCTCCAAACATTAATCATAACTTGTATGAACAATACAATGCCAAACTCCATACATGAGCCCTCAAAGAAAAATATCGGTCAAAACTTGTTAGCCGTTACCCTGAAAAAGTCGCATAGCAACCGCGATGCATGTAGTACTATATTTACTTAGGCTTTACTTCATAGTTGTTGAAAAATATCATGTTTAACTTGAAAAATAAGGACGGCTACGAAATATATCATTTAGACCTTTACATATATAATTAGACAATTGTACCGAGCCAACAACTTCCAACCATGAACATCATGATGTTTGGTGTGTGTATGTGCGTGTGCATATATACCGCCCCCATCGTGACTCAAGCAGTGACATCTAGTTCTACTAGTTGGAACACTCTTCCGTCACATTCGGATTTATGAAAGGCGAAGATGAAAGAGGAGCTAGTCTTTGAGAGATGGTAGATGAACACGAATATAATGTAAAAGTTGTATAAGGGAATAAGAGACACCAGAAAAAGGAGATACATTTATGTATGGACTATGCACCGAGTTGGTTCTAGAAGTGTGAGTCCTAGAGGTTCTCGAAGTGTGAGTACTACAACTGGTTCAAGATGGTTTATAATAAAATTGACTACAGTGACATGCAACTGATTAGCGAGATATATAATGTTCACAAGCCTGTAGATAAGATCACCAACATGGAACTGCTGAAGGTCAACTTTGGGTGAAACAAGATGTCATCAGTTTGTTGGTCTGATCACCATCGATATAGTTGGCACTAGACTTAGGTTTAGCCTCTTTTATCTGTCCATTTATACTTGGTAGAAATCTTAATTTGGAACATAAAAGGTATCTGAGTCTGAGATATGCCCTTCTCCTATAGGAGTATACGAAGTGCAAATGTATTTTAGACTCGAACCATGTAGTATTAACAAACTGAAGATTTGCCGGTTCAAGAAACAAAAAATGTGAAGATTTGCGCGTCTTTGCCTTGGGGAAACGGCTCTGTATAGTACGCAAACTGAGCTCGAAGGCGGATTTTGCACTATCCGCTTCCGCTAGGGTGTCGGTTTAATTTCCTTCTCCGCTGGCGCGCGCCGAGCTCGGCGGCGGAATGGCGGTGGCGGCGGAGGAGGAGCGGTGCTGCATCTCCCACGCCTTCGACCGCGCCGCGCGTCGGGACCCCGCCCGACTCGCCGTCGTCCATGCGGGCGACGGCGAGCGCCGCTTCGCCTGCGGCGACCTCCTATCCGCCGTCTCCTCGCTCTCCCGCCGCATCGCCGCCGCGCTTCCTCGCCCTTCCACCGACCACCGCGGCGACGACGGATCCCCAGGTGCGTGCGTGAGCCGCGATGCGCTCGGCTGACATTTGTTGTCCGCTGTAATTCGCCCCCGCCCCCACCCCCCGCTCGGATCGACACGGGGGAGGCGCGGGCGCGACGCCTAGGGTGGTGGGGGTGTACGCCTCCCCGTCGGCGGGGTACGTCGCCGCCGTCCTCGCCGTGCTCAGGTGCAGGGAGGCGTTTTCCGCCTCTACTGCGGCGCCGGTCGAATCGGCAGGGGTTTCGCATGAGGACGATGTTCTTAAGGGCAGCTCTTGCCCTGTCCTGCGATTCAATGGCGACATCCGGCAAGGGTTGGACCATGGAGAGGTTGGGATTGGTGGAGATGAGCTTGCTTGGCCGTGCGAGCATGAGAGGCCGCGGGAGTTCTGCTATGTGATGTTCACGTCCGGTTCTACTGGAAGACCCAAAGGCGTTTGTGGAACGGAGAAAGGTAAACATTCGTATTGTTGTGAAATTACTTATGTCATCACTCATCATGGTATTATGTTGCTCCGCCTCTGAAATGGCAAAGGAATGGGTCGACATATTTCTAGATGCTAGCCTCATGTTCTTGACTTCTAGGTTACTACTCCACTTATTAGGCAGTTTTGCAATTTTATTATGGCGTGTCCATTAGGTGGTTCCCTCCCACTGAATTTTAGGTTTGGCTGAGCAACCAATTTACTGAGAAATGCTTCTTTTACTATCATGCGCTAGGTCTTCTGAATCGCTTTTTGTGGATGCAAAGAAGGAATCCTTTGTGTTCGTAAGATGTGTTGTTGTTTAAGACATCTGTCAGCTTTGTTGACCATCTTTAGGAGTTTCTTTCTGCTGTGTTGACTAGCACAACACTTGTCATTCCCCCCAATAATTGGAGAGCCAATCCAGCATCATTGGCCAACTTGATTAAGGTTACTTAACCTTCATATATGCGTTAGTCATTCTTCTAGTGAAAATACTTCTATGTGTTTGGTTTCCTTATCCAGCTAGTTTTTAAGTGTCTGATCAAAATCTCCAAAGCTTATTACTTGAATAATATTGCATATGAATCTCAGAAACAAAATTACCGTTTCAAGAATTCAGTTTGATATTGTGGAATTACCATTTAACACTGGGATAATGTACTGTACCATTATCATAGCAAACAATATTTATAGTTTGTTGCCGTTGTAATCAAGGGATTGTCTGAGGCTCTTTCCTGTTTGACTTGAATAGATGCTTCACAAAATAATAGCTCCTAGAATGTTATTCCTGATTTTCTTGGTCCATCATTACATAAAACTCCCTTGTCTTTTTGGTATAACATTCATTGCGCTTGCATTGGCTTATGTTGTCATAGGCATATCGTATATCAAGGGTGACTATAGTTCCGTCGCTGAAGGAGATAATTCTACCTACCCTGGAGAAAAATATTTCATGTGGATATAACTCTCTTAAGATCTTGGTATTTAGTGGGGAGATTCTGTCCTTAGTGCTGTGGAAGAGGGTTCGTGAAATTCTGCCAGAGACTGCTATCATAAATTTGTATGGAACAACAGAGGTGAGAAAGTTACCCACCAAATATTTTCTGTTTTTTTTTCCAGAGGAGATCAAGTCTATTTTCTCTCTCTGATACATTCTTACTCTTACCTATTGTTTTCTCTAGACAATGCCAGTGCTAATCAACACTACTTTGGCCAGCCGGCTGAATTTTCCCAACTTGGCTATTAATAAAAAGGATGTTTAAATATTTTCATTGCATTCACATAATTGAGTTATCTGTGCGATCTTTATGCAGATAAGTTTAAAACCTTCTAAAAATTTCATACAGAATTAGGCTTGAGACAGGGAGTTCTTTGCTCCTGCTATGGATGTACATTTCCTCCCCAAAAATTAGGCTCGTGACAGGGAGTGCTTTGCTCCTGCCATTGGTACATCATTTACTAACCACAGTTTTACTGCTATCTATTAAATGTAAATTTAGGGGAATCATTGTAATGAGTTGGTATGCCGTAATAAGGACTAAGTGCTCGAGTTCCCTACTACCTCTTACGCCCAGAGATGAACTTTAAAACTGAATTTCTGGCCCTTTTTCATCCTGAGATGTTAAATTTGGTCTGGAATTACGACACAGAAGAGATACATAGAGTGTTGCAATCTGAGCAACATGTTAAATAGAAGAACAGAAATGGCATACTTTTGTCCCTAATATCCATCAATCTATGAGCTCAGTTGCATCATTGTTTCATCTCACTGGGGGCTTAAAATTACTGTTGTTTCTTTTTTGCTATCTTTTGTTCAGTTTAGTCCACACAGGGACTGGTTCAAATTATAGTGTTGGTGTTTGTTATGCATCTTTATTCAAAATTTGTACTTGTGTTTTAGGTTTCTGGTGATTGTACATTCTTTGATTGCAAAGATCTGCCTGCAATTTTAGAGCGTGAAGAAATAACCAGTGTACCGATTGGATTTCCTATTGCAAATTGTGAAGTTTTTCTTGTGAAGCATGCTGGGATTGCAGCTGAAGGTGAAATTTGTGTCAGTGGAGCATGTTTATTCAATGGTTATTTAGCTGAGTTTCTGAGGAGTAATCACACTGAAGGCAGTGAAAGTTCAACATACTACAAAACGGGTGACTATGCTCGACGGCTGAAGGCTGGTGAACTTGTTTTCCTTGGGAGAAAGGACCGTTCTTTAAAAAATTATGGGCAGCGTTTTTCACTAGAAGAGGTAGAATCCACCTTAAAGGAACATCCTGCTGTCAGTGATGCTGCAGTTACTTTCCAAAGTAAAGGGTCTCCAGATTATAAGGCATACCTGGTGTTTAAGAGTAAGGATGAAATTTTGAAAGATAGCCTGTCGTATAGAGAAGTACATTCTTTTCAAGATATCATGGCATCAATTCGAAGTTGGCTCATCAAGAAGGTTCCACCATTTATGGTTCCAAGCTTCTTTATCCCCATGAAGTCCTTACCTTTGACTTCTTCAGGAAAGGTTGACTGTCAAGTTAGCAAGTTTGGAGTGTGCATTGGAACCATGTGAAATTGAGCGAATTGAGTCTGGAACTGGTCCAGTTAATCCACATTTAGAAGTTATTAAAAAGGTCTGTTCTTAGTTCTGGTGTTGTCTCTTGTTTTTACCTTTTCACCTGAAAACTTCTTATTTTTTTTAATCTGACATTTGTGTGTGTGTTTCTGTTTCTTCTTTCAGTTTTTTTAATATCTTTGGATAGTGTCCATTCATGTTCATGTTGTACTGATGCCGCCTCCATCTACAATAGGCATTTTGTGACGCCCTGCTTGTTAATTAAGTTTCTGAGTTTGATGATTTTTTCACCTTGGGTGGTAACTCAATTTCTGCTGCCCATGCAGCCCACAAGTTGGAGATTGACATGAGGCTGCTTTATGTCTATCCAACCCCTTCGAAGCTTTTGCATGCTTTAATTGTGGAGCATAGTAATTCGGTTTCTCCTACTGATGAACCTCAGCCTAAGAAGGGCATGAACTTATCTGCAAGTCTACAGGGACTATTCGACCCGATTGCTGCAAGTGCGGATGACAGTTATCATGTTCGCAAAGCACGGATAAATGGAAAGCGTGCACATTATCACGTTGCAGGGAGTTATGGAAATGAAACAGAGGGCCAGCTTAACAAATATCCATTCTCTCCTAATGATAGATACCAGGCAAATGACATCTACTTGGGTACATGCTTGAAGGACAGAAGCAGTGCCATGGTGAGTCAGTGGATCCTGAACTTTTGTTTACACAAGAAGTGGTCTATTGGGCGTTGCAACAGATTTATGCATGATGATGAAGGGAAGCTGCAACTTGAAGATGTTTGCTCATATGTTTCATACAACAAAAGAGGTTATCTTCAGGAACTTTGGAACATTCCTTTGGATTCATGTGTTGATGCGTCAACTTTGCTTGTCCTGAACAATGGGATGATAAACATATTTATTGGGTCCCATTCACATTTATTTCTCTGCATCGATGGTTGCAAGTGAGTTTTGCTTGCTAGTTCTTAGTCATTGTTTCTATTATTTTTCTTATTACTTTGAATGCTAAATCCTCGGTCTGGTGCGCCAGATATACTCTCATGTTGTTCTTATTGATTTGGTTAATTTGAATTTGATTCAATGAGATAGCAGTTCCGATCGGACATATGCATACTGAATATCTTGAAAATTTACTTCCAATTTATTATGCAGTGGTTCAGTGAGGTGGAGTGTCAAATTGGAAGGACGTGTGGAGTGTTCTGCTGCTATTACTGGTGATTTTTCAGAGGTGACTTGACTCTTGAACTAGTTGACATAGCAACTGGCCAGTCATTTTGTGATCTAGCTCATCATTAATCTGTTGGACAGGTTGTGGTTGGATGTTATAAAGGGAAAATTTACTTTCATGATATGTTGACTGGCAAACTATCTTGGACAGTTCAAACAGATGGAGAGGTACAATTGCTGCATTTTTATTTGAAACATCTTTTAAACCTCACTTTGAAATATGGCATATGTATTTTCATCCCATCTCTGAGGAACACTAAGAATGACAAGGGACTGATTATTTTGTGTGCTAGACGTAAATAAAACTATAATAGATCTCAGCTTTGGGATGTTTGATTTTAAGAAAATCTTCCTGACTGTATGTTCATGTTGAGTAGGCTATGGTTCTTTAACTGCTGCAAGTGAAATAGTAAAGGGGCCAAATGTCACGCTCAAGTTATGCAAAGGCCCATGATGGTAGTATTTCTGGCATATGGAATTTGATAATGCAGTTACGAAGTTATACGATGATTATTTTGTTACAGCATACATGATGGAACATCTTAAGAAGCATCTAATATTTTTGATATTTCATATCCCAAATTAAGAATCTTCTTTCAGGTAAAAATGCAACCAGTTGTTGACAGGACAAGGAATTTAATATGGTACCATCCCATAATCTTTCTTTTGTTCATCATAGTACGCTACTATCACTTGTCACAGTTCTCTCTGTATATAACTTTTCTCTCAGTTTAGATGAAAGCACATTTGTTATTATGATAATAAAATGTTATGTTTTCAGCTAGAATGAGTGAACCAATGATCTGTCTACTCACTCTTCAATCATACAGAGACATAAGTTTGCACAATAGACGACTGTACTGCTGTTAAATGTTTTTGTTAATAATATGTTGTGTATGATTGTCAGGTGTGGCTCTTATGATCATCATTTATATGCACTAAATTACAAAGATTGTTGCTGCGCTTATAAAGTATCTTGTGGTGGAAGCATCTATGGTTCTCCTGCTGTGGACATGGTATTTTTACTGATTCACAGCATGCATCTGCCTTAAATCTGTGCAAGGGCTCTATTGATCTTGTGTTATCTGGATTGCTCCTTGCAGGCACATGACAGGATCTATGTTGCTTGTACGAGTGGCCTTGTAACTGCAATATCCCTTGAGGTGACTTATGATATATTCCCCGTGATAACTTTAAAGGAGAAAATGTGCATGTTTTTTCTTTTCTTTTTATCGTTTTTTATATTGTTTCCATGGGAATTGTCTGCAGCAAAGCTAGTAATAGAAAGTAAAATAATTAGCAACGAGTGAGTATCCAGAGTCTTCACTGGTTTCTTTTGGTGGTAGCAGGTTCCATCATTCAGAATAGTTTGGCAATATGAAGCTGGGGCAGCAATTTTCAGTTCTCTTGCCATCGATCATCAAAGTGGAAATGGTAATTTTTAAGCTAGCCATGAGGCATGAGCACAGATGTTCTGCAATTGTCCATGCGTATTTTATGATTAAATTTCTTTGGCACAAAAAAGAGTTACAAGGATGCAACATTAAAGGTAGCAAGAGCCAGTCGATTTTAGGAGTTGGTCCACATTCAGATTTAATTTTTGAGAACTCACATTTTCACCATTTAGTTATGCCTACTTTTTCATGTGTATTTCACAAATGTTGATTTTTTTGCCTACTTTTTCATATGTATTTCACAAATGTTGAATTTTTTTTGAGTGATCCACTTTTTCTCATCCAAGACTTCCAAGTTCCCTAGTAAAATCCGAATCCCATATGCTCCTCCCTGGCACGACAGCATCAGAGCATTGGTTAAAACCATTATTTAAAAGTGTAACCATTGTGCAACCGTGCATGTCTCGAGCATACTTTTGGCTAGCTATGTGGCATATGCTTTAAGGTGCCAAGTTTAATATTATAAAAATTTAATTAAACATAACATGTGTATTGACCTCAGTCAATGTGTGGGTTCGATAAGGAATGTACTGGGAATTTGCTATGTACGTTCAGTATTCTTCACTTAAGGATGCCAATTTATGCTGATTACTAACTTTCATCTTGCAGTTGTTTGTTGCTTGGTGAACGGTTTGGTGATCGCATTGAACTCACATGGCACTGTTGTCTGGAAGGTGGAATAGCTCTTCTCCCTGTTGTGTTTGTGAAGCTATTGTTACAAAGTTACAGTCTGCAACAGATTGATATACAAAGGAACAGTTATTCTTTTAAAGTTGTCTGGTAGACACACCAGACATCTGCTAGACTAAAGCTAACTATCCAGCCTACAGAACTAACTAACATTGAGCGGAGTACTCAGAGAACAATTGTAGTTTGTGGATGCCAATTTATGTTTTGGACGCCCTTGTTTTTAAGTCTTGTCGTATCAAGATTTTATTTGGTTTTGATCTTGTTGTTATTTAGTATTGTTCCATACTGTCAATTTTGTTAGTATTATTTAATTGTTTATCACAGAGTCATAACTAATTTCTTTAAAACCCAGGCAACTGTTGGTGGTCCTATTTTTGCTGGTGCATGTGTGTCATCTGCCCTTCCTTCTCAGGTACTTTGAGAATTCTGAAAACAGCTGTTTCCTCGTGACCTAATTGTTCACAAGTTGATGTGTTCCCAGTTTGAAGTAAACTGAACCAAACTTTTGCATAATGTCAATGGCAGGTGCTGATACCTTCCCGTGATGGAAGTTTGTACTCTTTTGATATTGTAAGTCTTACGTACTGAACTTCCAAATTTCTCTTTTGAGACAACATAATCTTTTGTACGGGCACTAGTGGGAGAGTGGCATGCAGTTGGTTGCATGATGATCATTTCATATAATTCTTTCGTGTTCTAGATAATAGTGTTAAATTATACTCATTGTAAATGTTTACGTCATTTCCAGAAATACAGTTAATGATCATAGAATCTCTGCCACTGTTGTGTTTACTTATTTTCTGATGTCAATTTAGCAGCTGCGGGTAATTCTCAAGTTCTTTTTGTGTTAAACAATTGAACTTTATTTATTGCATGTTATGTTTACTAGGAGATAACGGCTTATCTTCACTTTAAGTACTTAAACATTAATGATTTCACCACAGACATCTGGTGATCTTCTTTGGTCATATGACGTCAGCGACCCAATTACTGCATCTGCTTTTGTTGATGAAGTGTTAGCATCAACGCCATCTGGAGCTTCAGAGAGGTAATTGGCATATCGATAGCAAAGTCTTATAGCAAATAGGTGTCAAGAAAATGTTATAGCTGTTCTTTTTGCAGATTTGCTTGTATCTGCACAAGTTCTGGGAAGGTCCGTGTCCTTGGGATTAGAGCTGATGCTGAGCAGGGGAAAGATGGTTACTCTGTGCAAGAGTTTGCAGCCATGGATCTTCCTGGGGACATCTTCTCGTCACCCTTGATGGTGGGCGGGCGCATCTTTGTTGGCTGCAGAGATGATCGGCTACATTGTCTCTCAATCACCTCACATCCATAATCCATTTCAGACATATCCAGTCGAACTGTTTTGCTTAGTGGCCAATAGAAGAATTATTGGTGACGTCTTGATGTTTTGAACAATCAACAAAGAAGAAATGCTCAAGATACTGGTGCTTGGGTTCCAAAGGTTGGATTTCCAAACCATAAATCTTTGGTTAAGTGCTTGATATTCAGTATCACAAATCAGATTACAACCTTGGTGCTATCCCGAGGGTACCGGGTTCAAAAGCGGAAGCAGAGCTATAAACAGTCCTCGCTCCTTTTCTGCGGAAAATACACCTTCAAGCATGGTCGACGTACTGATAGGTCTCTTTTTATGCATCAAATTATTGTTTTTCTTTTGTTAGAAGATCAGAATTGGTGGTCGAGAGCAACGTGTTCATGTGTACATAAGCTAGCTGATGTATCAAGGCAGTGAAGAAATATATGTAATGTGCCAAATCCACAAGTTTTGATCCATTTCAGTGATCAACAACATATGGCCGGTTCCAAGTTCCTTGTTCGAATGTTCTTATATACCGTTGAATTGTTCCAACATTCCAAAGTTTACATAACTTATAAATTATCCAAAAACCTTAACCAGTGCAGGAAATGAATTTGTGGAAGAACACATGATTGACGGCATAGTCATGCACCAAGGGGACACAATGTTTTTGGAGAGGCAGTAGTATGGCATCGACTCTACCATGAGCGGTGATAGGGATGCATCTCCATGAACATCTTAGCGAGGCCGTCCTTCTGTTGGAGCCTGTTCAAATTTGTGTGCTGATGTTGATCCCAGAGTTTTTTTTCCACTGCAAGTTGTTCTCAGCTGCAAGCCATTAGTGTTCAGGAGACTATGAGCATGTAAGTACTTTGTGAAATGCAATTTTATTTCTGTTACCTCCTAAATCTGGATTGGACCGGCTTTTGCGAGACCTAATCCAGTAGACATGTATAAGCCACTAGTGTTCACGAGACAAAGGTAAGTAATGTGTGAAATGCAATCTGGATTGAACTGGCCATTGCGAGAGCTTATCCGATAGAGTTTATAAGCCACTAGTGTTCAGGAGACTACCACATGTAAGTAATGTGTGAAATGCAATTGTTAAGAGAAATATATTCCATTCAATAGAATGAAAAACGAATGAACGATAAACGGTACCATTGCATAGGAAAGACAAAAAAAGACACACTTGCTATGGAAATGCCTCCATAAGTGCAGGCCTGGGATGAATCAAGTCCATGCATTCCTCACTAATGATAACATTGGGATCTAGCATTGAAAAAGGAACACAAAAGGTTTCAATGTACATCATTCCTTCTATCCAACTTCCAAATGTTGCTAACTAACAAAATAATAATTAGTCACGAGCTTATGTGAACATTCGTGGTTCAGTTTGTAGTTACAGAGAAACATAGATTAGCCTATAATTACACACAAACCAAATACTTTGTAGTTACACTGAACTATAAAATTGAGTTCAAGTTATGATGCTCAAAATAAAAATCTCTTGAGCCAGAGATACGAATTCATTGATTAACAACTGGCAAAATTAGAGATTCTTAGAAATCCTTAGAGAAGAAGATTCTCCAAATAAGATTTTGCAGCCATGCATAATGATCAACACCATCACCAACAGAACGATAGCATGCCAGGGACAACCCACATAGGTTGCACCCTGCTATCACGACCCTTGAATATGAAGATGTTTGGATTAAATTTGGAGGTGGGCCCATCTCCCTGTAGTGGCTTTCCCAACTCAAGGGCAACCCAATGTTTAGAGTCATGGTTATAGCAGTATACGCAGTTGCTCCTCCCTCCCCATATCTCTGGGTTCATGCAAGACAATGCCTGACTTCTCTTGTCGGTGCTGATGAATATCGCCCAATTCTCTAGCTTCTCCACCTTCAGCCATAGTGCAGGTTCAACCGATAAGTCAAGGCGGAAGACTTCGAAGGTTACTCCTGTTACTATAATGGGTCCTCGCAAGGCCACCATGAGAAGCATATCGCCGCAAATCACCAGCCATCTATCGGAATGGTGCCATTTCTTAATCATGCTTGACTCCATAACTGGTATTTCCTGTATGCAAATCTGGGGTGTCAACTGCACTTTGAAGAGTTTGAGATCCGAATCGATGCCAAAAACACGCCCTTTGAAGACCACTATTTGCTTGATTGGTCCATCGTCAGGAGAACGTCTCACCCAATATTGACTACCAACATGCCAAAACAAATTGCGCGATTCGATATCGACAATGATATGTGAGTTAGGTGATGCTAGAGGAGCTGTGAGGGCAGCATAGAAGAGCTTGATGTCCTTAATGACCGGTAGACGTGGGGATGAGACACTAACACCTGTGAACACATCAACAACGAGACATGATTTATCTCTTGAGAAAATGAGATGACCATAGGAAGCACCACTGAAGCGAAACCCTTTTAGAGGACTTGGTGGGGTATTGTTTTCACCAAAAATACTACCCAAGGGAATCTGACAGCAATGGTAGGTGTCTTGGTTTGCTATATTAGTGGCTTGGCATGGCCCTGTTCGTACCAGGTTGTTGGTCATGGGAGGACGGCGAGGAAAGCACAAAGAGACATCAGGCCGGAGAAGAAGATGTGGGAGGAGTGGCACCAAGGTGGAGAAAGCGGCACGCCAAGAGCGACAGGTTGCAGAAAAGGCAACAAGATCAGAGAACGAGACGAGGCCTAGCCGAGCAATGATAGAGTAAAGCAGACCCTCCGGGAGATCTGGCCACCCTCGCAATCTGTACATGGTGCCGGTGACACAAATGGAGCAGGCCTTCTCCTTGCAAGTAATCGCAGCTTCCCTGCAACAAATCACCAAACAAAGGCATGTATTAAAAGTTTAGAACAATGGACCGAATAACAGAAAAGTAACAGAGTGAACAGTACAAGATCCTGATATGCTAGTTGTAATAGGCACATAGTTATGTCAATGAAAGCATACAAAATCCCAGTGACTTCAACAACATTGATACGGAATAACCTCGAAACAGGTTTTCGCCCCGCTTTATATATAAAACACCAACCATACAAAGTATACGACTGAACAATACAAGATGGCGAGGATTCGGTTGACCTAGCTAGGTAGGGTGTATATGTATACCTGACGGACGGCGAGTGGAAATAGATGATATGGCGACGGCGAAGATTGCAGCGGAGACGGCGACGGCGACGGTTGGGGCGGAGACCTCCGGCTCGGCCAGTTGATTTCGACTTCGCTGTATACTACCGGGCGACGGCAACCGAGAATAGTTATCAAGGTGGCTGGGCTGGGCTGGACCATCTACGTGCCCAAACCTGGCGTAAAACACCCACGCAGGCTGCGCGGGCTGCAGCACAATTGGCTTGCCCGGTCGCCCACGCTCTGGCTCGGCATCTTTTTCTTTCGAAAACACTAACGCCCACACGTGTGGGCGTTACCCAACTCGCCCACACGTCCGGATCGCCGTTCACTGTCTTTTGCACAAATCTTAACACGAAAAGGTGGATTTGGTGTGCCACGTAGGACGGGGCTGGTGTGTAGGCGTTGGAGATTTTGCCCACACGCCCGCACCACGCTGTTTGCCAGCTGCGTTGTGTGGGCGAACTGCTTTTCGCCCACACAGCCACCACCTAGGTCATGCGCGTGTGGGCGAACTGCTTTTCGCCCACATGACACTCCTACCTTGTGGATGGCAACTGCACTTACGCGAACGTGGCAACTCGGTACACACACATGGCAACTGTGATTCTTTACTACACGGCAACTGCAGTTACGCGAACGTGGCAACTCGGTACACACACATAGCAACTGTGATTCTTTGCTACACGGCAACTGCAGTTACGTGAACGTGGCAACTCGGTACACACACATGGCAACTGTGATTCTTTGATACACGGCAACTGCAGTTGCGCGTACGTGGCAACCAGATAAACATACATGGACACTGTGATTAACAATACATGGCAACTATGGTTGGACCACACGAGACAACTAGGTAAACACACATGGTAACTACTGTTTTGACCATATGTGGCAAGTAGTTAATCACACATGGCAACTACGATTTGATTACATGCGACAACTACCATAAATTAGACATGTCAACTATAGTTAACCAAAACAGATAGAGTTGCCATGCTTTTACAACTACACTTGCCATCCCAAATAAGTACATCTGCCAACCAGGATGGCAACTAAATCGTCATCCCGTGGGGTACCAAACGTAGCTGTGTCAGGACGTGTGGGCATTTTTGTTTCGTGCCACACGCACGGGATGGAGATGAGTAGTATTTGTTGGACGTGTGGCACGAAGTAGCCGCCCCCACACGTATGAGCAATTCTAATATCCGCCCACACACAGCCCGTGTGGGCTGCCTCCTACTCACACCACACACGGTGTGTGGGTGCATGTCGTATATGCCACACGTGTGGCAGTTATCAGCGTCCTTTTCTTTTGCTCTCGCTTTTGTTGCTGCTGGCACATGGAAAAAAAGCCAGCTACCACTTTTTCCTTTTCTTTGAGATGCCAGTTTTTCTTCTTAATTTTGGAAAATGATGAAATCAAAAACTGTTGGTGTATTTTTTCATGAATTCCTCAAAATATTCGCTAATTTTAAAATATTAATAACTTAGAAAATTGTTCTCACGTATAAAAAATATTAATGAACTTTAAAAATTCGCATAATTTTTAAAAATGTTCATGAATTTATAAATTATTTTAAAAATATTTAATAATTAGAAAATGCGGTGTGATCCCTTTAGTCCCGGTTCTGCACCAATTATTATAGGGCAGAAAAAAGACGGACGACAAGTGGAAACAGGTGTGATGCACCAATTGCAGTGGGCAAGGTGATGGCGACAATGCGGTGGACAAAGCGATGGCGGCGATGCGGCGAAGATGGCGGCGACATGCTCTAGCTCCGGCACTCAACTTTCTCTTTTCGAAAAAGGCTTTTGCCTCGCTTTGTATAAAGCAACAACCACCAACATTCGAACCGATACAAACCAGAACACATCGCTTGAAACCCACACACACCCAGGGCCAGATACATAGGTGCCAGAGGGCTACAACAACAACATACTGAAAGATTCGACGTAGACTACAAGAGAAGACAACAAGCATCCCTACGGAGCCTTCGGCGCCCTTCCGATGAAAGATACCGCGAAGAGGTGAAGTTGAGATTCAACGAAACTGTGTGCTCCAAGACGGTGCCTTTGGGAAGGACACGACACCATAGTGCCGCCACTATCCAATCGAAAGATCAGATTTTTCATCCGAAGCACAATGCAGGGAGGGAGCAACAACAATGGAGACTCTAGGAAGCCGATGCGCCCACAAGCGCCACCTTTGTTGGTCTGGACGAAACCTGATAGGGTTTTCAACCGGAAAGCATAATTCTCTTTCGGTACTGGTGTGGCTAGGGACATGGATCATAGCCGAACACCACCACGGAACATCGAAACGCCACCCACCACAACACCCATATGGCCATGGCTGCTAGCTGCCCGCACCTGAGCCACGAGCTCAGCCCACGAGCACAATGGCTCCCACCACCCGAGTCGCCTCCCAAAAACCAAAACGCTCCAAAGGTCCTCCATGGCTATGGGCGATGAACCGACGACCGACAGAGCCGCCAGTGAGGCAGCAGCCAGAATGGCCAAGTCTATCGGGGAGCACCCAGGTTGGAGAAGAGGTGAGGCGGGAGCGGACTACGTTGACGTCTAACTCCCTTCCCGATGATGGGTGGCTCAAGCGCATCGGCGTCACCCCTCTCTCTCGTCACCTCTCCAAACGTCACCCCTGACGCCCAACTAGGGCTCCCTACCTAGATCTGCATTTGGCACAAACCGGCCACCCGCTCAATGGCGCGAGAAGTCGGACCGGCCACAACCTGCAACAGAGAGAGCCAGGAGCATCCACATGAACTGCACGTACACGAGCCGACGCCTAGCCGCCGCTGCGCCACGGCCCGCACACCATCGTGAGCCGCCACCACGCCATAGCAACTCATCCCACGCGGTGACCCACCCGACTAACGCCGCCACCAGCATGCCTTGCACACCAGCAATGCCGCAAACATCACCTCGAGCCGCTCGCCAGGGACCAGGTCTAGATCCGGGCGGATCTGACCGGTCGCAGCAAGCACTCACTGCCGCGCCCCTTGGCCCCTCACAACCGGTAGAGCAGAGGAGAGAGATGTATCCCACCATCGAGGGAACCCCACCGGTGGCGCTGAAGGCCCCCGCAACCACCAACGACCGGATAAGGCCGATCCAAAGCCGCCGCGGCGGCACGGGAGACCACCACCATGCATAGCCCACCGCACCCGAGCTGTGCGACCTTGTCACCGTCGCCCAAACGCCCGCAAGAACGCCGCCGCGCCCCACACCAACGCGTCGGCTCCGCCCACCGTCGTCTCACCGCGCAAGACGACACCGAGCGGGAGGTGAGGAAGCCCCATCGCTGTCGATGCCGGCCCAGCTTTGCCCGGCGACGCGTCCCGGTGGCGGCGGCGAGGACGGAGGATGGGAAGGGGGCCATGGGCCGGCGGCGCTAGGGTCCCCTAGGTCATGAAGTGGGCACGACACGGGAGGGGGGGGGGGTACAAACAAGGAAAAAAATTGAAATGGTGAGCTGTGCCCTTTGTATATTGGATGCAATTTTCTTGGGTTATGACATTCTACGCTTGACACTAAATTGACGTCATAGCGCGCTAAATGAGGCTAAATTGTACATAATGTGTTTAACGTGATGCCTTTTAAACACTACAATGTGCTATTAAAAACTATGGTACCTAGCGTTGGCAACAACCGAGAGAACTGTTATCAAGGTGGGCCATCCGTCATTGTTCAGGTCGGATTTCTTTAGTTGGGCTGGACCATCAGTGCCCAAATCTCTCTGCCATTATGAGCGTTATTGATCTTGATTCCCCCCATAGAAAACATTATTTCCCCTTATTGATTCTAACTATTAAAGTGAGAATTTAGTGAATACGAGGCTGATGCATCACATGGCCCCCGTTAGCTCCGTCGGCGTAGGCATCACGCCGTCACATGGCCGTCGCCGCCCGGGTAGCCGGGCCCACCTCTATGCCGATGACCCGACCTATGCCGACGGCCACCGTAGGCATATAGCCAGCGCTGCCGACAGCCGAGCTATGCCGACGGCCCCCGTCGGCATAGGTGGACTTGTGCCGACGACTTGTCTACGCCTATGGGTTGACCTAGGCCGTCGGGATACCTCTATCTATGCCGACGGGGGCCGTCGGCATAGAGTAGGCCGTTGGCAGCTGCAGTTATTCTGGTAGTGATGGACCATGACGACGACGATGCTGCCACCTTGAGTACGACAGATTAAGCATTCATATAAACATAATATGTACTGGACATCCATGATTCAAAGTTCAAAGGAGGGGGTGCCCTCATTTATAGGCTAAGCAGGGGCCCCTATTTTCATACACTGAACATCCATACTTCAAAGTCCAACTCATTTTCGTACAGAAGCAATGTATTTTCAAAAGTATCCATCCACTGCAATTTTTAACTCTGCAAAAGCCTGCCTATTCCTAGCAATCTCCAAGCACTTAAAGTAGTTACCACATTTAACATCTCCGACCTGTTCAATCTCTCAGGTTGTCATGGCTCAGAGGTAAAACAAAATGATCAGCAAACCCAAAGTGCAAAAGGAAAATAACATGAAAACAAAATCATGTTGTTGCAAAATCAACTTATCATGTAAAGGGATTCACTACATGAGCATCGGCAGA